CAATTTTCATGCAAAAGTGAATGACTTGGCATGTTCAAAAAGTCTTATACATATAGATGTATACAAACTATTGAACATAAAATGTTATAAAAAGATGTTCCTAATTCATTAAGTTTACACAATACCAAATTGAGATTTTGTCTTGTATACTTAAAGAAATAAAATTTGAATCCTTGAAATGTTCAGAGAATTCAAATATAAGATCATATGAGCTATATAGTATGATGTACTCTTATTAAGATATGATCTCAATGAAGATTACTCTTACTTATTAATTAATCATTCAAAAGATAAACCTACACTAATGTAACAATGGAACTTTCTTATGAATAGAACATAGAGATGTTTATTCAAAGAAGAAAGAAAATTCGTATAGTGATATGATTTGGTCTATATCTTTCCAATATATATGTAGCCAATTATATTATTCCAAACCAATACAATTCCAAGCATACATTAAGATGTATGTATGTAACATCATGGAATATTCAAAAGAGTTTGAATATTACTCTCACAAAGGATCTTGAATTAAGTGGGAGCATGATGACACTAAGAAAGGAGTTTCTTTAGTATTACATGGTTGCATTGGAATCTAACTCTTAAAAGTTTGCATAGAGACGCAGAATCATATGTATGAGAACTCCATGGATTTAGTAAGATATATCGGGGATGTATTATTCGTATGAGATGAATCTATTAAATATGTTTTTCATTTGAGTTATACACTTTGTTCTATTAAATGGGATCCAAAGGGTTGGATTTAATAGAATGTACAAGTGTACTTATCTCATACACATGAAGAGGTTAATAGGAGTGAATACAATTCTTTGGTGATACAAGTACATAAGATGCAATGTGTATACAAAGAAAGTGCCAAAATTTAAAAAAGGTAGATGGTATAATGAAAAGTGACAAATGCATATGATGTCTACATGGAGACATGATTGCTAGATGGATTGAATCCACATACGATGAGGTAGCAATTGGACTTGTACTAGTGGGAGACGTTAGGATGAGCCCTACAACCAATTAGGATTGGTTAAGGCTTGATTCCAATCATGCAACAATATCATTCATATTAAATGGTTAGAGGTTTTCCTTCATCAATAAGACATCAATTATAATGAGCTATAAGTCTAATTGGATGAAATACATGAGATTAATATGCCTCATAAGGGAATTGTAATAGGTTACAATTATGAGATCTCTATGCATCAAAACATAATCTTAAAATGTTCTTGGTCAATATGTCATTAAGATTAGACATCAATGATGCTTAGAAACTAGTATATTCTATGTTTCTTACTTTGGATGTAAGCAATTGATCTCATAGATTGAAGTATAGAGATACATGAAACTAGAATATAGGTGCTTACTTAGAAAAGCAAGTTCACTGAATATGACCCGCTATAAGAAGTGCATTTGGTAATACACTCTAGTGTCTATACAATACTTCTCATGTCTTAGTTGTATAAATACTCCCTAAACTTGAGACACCAAATTATCTTATGTGTGGAGTTTTATGCTTTGATTTCGGGTGCTTAACCAAGGATGCCAAAATAGTATGCTTTTAGGTATAGTGTGAAGCATGTGAAGGCAAATGAGTGGTCAAGATAGAAATCATCACCTCAAGTATTTTAGAGGACATATCCTATCAATTCTTGGTTAACATTATTAGCTTATTGAAGTCCTTGACTAAGGTGACATGGAAATTTTGAAAAAGGTTTCATAACTCTTTATAAAGCTAATGCTATAACTGTAAGAACGAATATGAAGGTTAATAAGGGTAGACACTGTACCAAGCTCTTATCATCTCTAGGATATATGATGATGGACTGAATTACACTGATAGACTGTACATTGAAAGGTTGTCAAAGAACTATTTAACTCTTCTAACAATTGGGTGGCCATAATGCATTGCGAGATGCCAATCTTGGTCTATGAAATTAATTATAAATTAATTGATTGAAATTTATATCAATCAATTAAGTCATTAATCAATTCCATTCTAACATGTTAGAAGCCTAATGGGTCACACAATGATTATATTTGAATTAAATTAGGAGAGTAATGATTCAAGTTAGACTTAAATCACATGCTAGGTAATTAACTTCTATAAACTTAATTAAAAGAGTTTAATTAAGTTTTAGACATTGTTATAAATAGTTATAATTATATGGCCTTGATTGCAAAATATAGCAGAAATTAATTTTGATTTTAATTTCCAAGGTCTTAATTTAAAGAGTTTAATTAAGCAATGGCTCTAATATTATAATGTGTTATAATATTGAGGGCTTAATTGTAAAATTGAAGTTATTTTAACCTAACTATATAAGTCACCTTTTAACTATTTGCCATATGAGAGTTTTTCACAATTGAAGAAAACCTAGTTTTTGTCAGAAAAATAAAAGCGTTTTCTCTCTTTGCCACCATTCTCTTTGTGTGAAAGAGAAAATTGCTTATGAAGCAATTTTCAAAAGAGGTTCGGCTAAGATTGTGAAAAAAAAGTAAAGGATTATTGTTGTCCTCTTTGTTAGCACAAACTATAGTTACAAATTCTTTCCTTTGTTGAAGGTTCATGTGCAATTGTGTGTACTACCGTTGAAGGCCAAACACTTGATTGGCTAGAGTTTTTGCTCCTTCTGGTGTTCACGGGATTACTTCGAGAAGTGCCATTATGATTACGAAATTACTTGATAAGAAAACTTTCTGAACAATAATTAATTTTGTGATTTTATGTGTCAAATATCACCAAAGTGATCTATGGGTGGAGGCATGTTTTAGTTGTTTAGTTATAAAGTTTTAATTTTCTTTCTACTACGTATTTTAAGCATGTCGTCCATAAACCCATCAATTCATCCTTCACAATCTATTGCTTCTAGAATTACTGATCTTTTAGAAGTTGCTTTGTTGGACATGGTTAAAGAGGCATTTTATGATCAAAATCTTATACGTACGAAATGCTTGGTAAATATAGAATGTCTATACATGTTAATTATGAAGTAAAAATTTATTCTAAGTCAAATATAGAGTTTTGTTCAATTTGATCTATGTATTATAAAGTTTTGTTCGATTTAATTTGTGTACTCTATAATTTAATCTATACTTACAACGTGATACAAATAAATTACTACGATAAAATAAATTTATTTAACACATCAGCATCAGGTTAGTATCGTATGACATGTTAACGTTACATTAGCACTACTAATGATCAACTTTGATAAAGTAAAACAAAATAACTCAATTGTATAAGATCTCAAAGTTTTTGAATAAAAAGACTAAATTGATGAAAACACCAGTGAGATACTTTGACCGTTAAATTTTCATTAAAAGGAAAATAAGATTAAAATCCTTATTTCTTGCATTTAAATGCCTTTTACAACTCTGTTCATTTAAAAGCCTTAATTTTGTTTACAAGTTTTATCTAGAATTCCCTGCAATTACAAAGTTTTGAGCGAGATGAGGTTTCAAGTAACAGGCTTGTTCTTTTTCCTTTTACTTTCCTCTCATGAAGCTCTTGTTAAGGCCTTGATCCGCTCTGGGTTTTTGCAATTTCAATTTTGAAAATTTTGCTATTCCTTTAGAAACCACTGGATTTAACATCTCTTGCCAGTCGCATCTGATTTTAGTAGGGATTGGGAGGATATAATCTTTTAAGTTAGGTAAGTGTTTGGACAGCTATTACCTTCTGCAATTTGTTTTTGATTTTAAGCTTCAGGATTAGGCAAATGCATGCATGAATTCTTCTGTCATTGTAAGTGTTGTGTGCATGTGTGCATTCATGAATTTACAGTTTGGTACCGTGTGACCATCGTACTTCCAGGCTGTTGAACAATGTCCATGTTTCTAAATTGAGTTTTGTTTCCTATGGTCTGTCTCTTTGTTTCAAATTCTTAAATTTACTGCTGGTTATCTTAAAAAATACATTATTGAGTTTTCCAGGTTCAAGTAATCCCATCTCTTTATTTTAACTGGAGCTGGCTTGTCATGGAATTTGTGCACAGGTTGTCGGTGTTGTGACAGAGAAAGAGGTTAAAAGGGCATCTCAAAATATTTAATTTGCAAAAAATACTAGAAAGTGCCTGCAACAGTTATTGTTGTTCTGGTTGTCATATCGACGAGCTAGGAGTGGAATTAGTGAGGCCCTGGTTTGTTGGACTTTCTACTTATTATTTTGTTTTTAACTTGACAAGTGCTGTCTTGCTTGAATGTGGTACATGTTCGGTGTTAAAGAAGATATTTAACTCGAAAAACAATTTCCTCGAACGCTAATTGCTTGATCAAGGAAGGTGACAAGGTAAACAAATTTGCTGAGCTATACGTCCAAGTGGCCCAGCAGAAGCAAAAAGACAATCCTCTCACAACAACTATCTTCACTTCCATCCAATTTCTTAAGGAGTTATTGTTCTTCTTTTCTTTTAATTCTTTAAAGCTTCCATCACCCCCTTCGTGATTTTGGCAATAAAGTAATCAAATTTCTGAATATAAAAGTTTTATTGTTTTTTTAATAAAATTTAAGTAAAAGTTTAACACTATTACTCCTTGTGAAATAGTAACAAAATGCCAAATTTTATTTGAAAACATAATCCCCAAAATGTTATGTTAAAAAAATGTATATGATACCATGAGAAGTCTATATGAAATTTATCATACTATTTATTATATATGTCGGTCCACGGTATGTACACGGAGAAATTGACGGAAACATCCCGGAACCAGAAAAAATAAAAATCTGAAGACAGATGCCCAAAGGAAAAACGAAAAAGAATAAAAGGAAATGAATGGCATTATTGCCATTTGGTTGCCAACGCAAGACTTTGTCCTGATTTAAACAGTAACACCGGTTTGAGTCTCAGTACATAGAATAATCATCCAAAACCAGTAAACATTTCTTGTTCACGTACATGTATAACGACACACATAAAAGTTTACAGGACTCCACTTAACTAGACACATCTGGAAAACCCACAAGCTGATGGCTTCTGAAACCAGCAAACTTCTATCATTGTCCAAAAATTAATACAGTTCATGCACATTGCTGGGACATCAATAGCAAGAATACCAGTAGGGTCAGCCAAAAGCAATCTGAAATACAATTCCATATGAAGTCAAGTCAAGAAACTGGAATTTACCAGGACCAATATCTGACTCCGTTCATGACTGATCTTCATCTGACCTTGATCGCATCAGACGCCTACGTCTTCTTGGGTTTGGAGATGGATCTTCACCTACATCGCTTAATATGCGCAGGTCATCATCATCATCATCTTGCAAACCCAACAGATTCTCACCCCAAAGGAATCGGCGCTCCGATAAAGCTCCTGCAGGGCGTCGATGCCTAGACCAAACCCTGGACCTTGCTCTTGGTTCACCAACACTGTCAATCGAACCAATCATCTGAAACAGAAAGAAAGTAGTCCACCATGATGCACTCTCTTCACCTGTGCCATTATCCCTATCGGCTGCCAACCTATCCCCATTCTCGATAACATAGTCTCCAACCACAACAGCACCTGGCATGGCAGATCGAATAGCACTTACAATGTCACCATATTCCTCTTTGGTGCTCAAGGCGGCGCCAGGCTTGTTCTCTTGATGGGTCAATATCTGAAGGTCGCGTTGTTGGGTGAACTCTCCTGGCATGCCGGCGCAATTCCTGGTAATTTCCATTGTAGGCGCAAGATTCCCTAGAACAAGATCTCTTCTTCAAATTTAGATACATTCTGGCCTCTTCCACAACCTCCCAGCCAAGTATGTCCCCTCGACAGAGAGGCATTTCAAACTAGATTTAGACTCTGATGTATTCTCTGCATCCACCTCTTCAGATTCAGCTCTTCCCTGAGATGAATCAGAGTCCCCTATTTCTATAATGCCTTCTCCTTGTGAATCAAGATGCCTATTTGGCTCTTGGATATTACCTTCTGATCCTCCTGGCGTGCCATTGGTTTCATTCAGATTTCGACTTCTGTTACCTTCAATAAAATCAGTTCTTAAAGCCAAGTTCATATCAGAAGTACTAGAATCCTGAGGGTTTAGGGGTATTGGATGAGGTAACATTGGACTCTTACTAGAATAAGTCCTTAATTTTTTAAATCGATCTAGGCAATTTGAATGCCTGTAACTTGTATCACAAATGTAAGATCTGCAACCCTTCTCGTGTGAGCTGCACAGGAGGAGAACAGCATTATGTGGATGGTCCATGCAGATTGGACATGAGACTTCATCCAGTTCTTTATGGAGAGCCCGGATATCCGAATCAGTAATTATTCTCCGTTTCACACCAGCCATCTGGCACATGCTGTGTAAAGTTACTCAGCATATTGAACTCATCAGGTAAGAGGAAAAATAGTCCATTAAGCAAAGGATACACTAGATAATGAACATTATAAACCACTAGCACTATGCAAAGAACATTCCCAAAAGTCTCAATACCTAAGTGATTGTTTGCTAATAAATTGGGACAGCAAAAATGGTAACATGTCACAGAATCAAGAAGAAGCAACCAACCAAATACACTCAAGCTTCCAAAAAGCCAGGAAAACCCTATCATCTTATTGTCCCACAAACCACAGTTTCTTTCTTTCCTGGAAAGGCATGGTGCACGAGGGGAAAGGGATAAGAGGTCTCTAACTTCCTTGACTGCTCTTTTCTCATCCTCACTTCTTCCGAAATCTGGCATTCACATTAATCAATGACCAAACTAAGCTTAAAGCAAAACTAATGCTTCATTTCAAAAGCCTGCAATTGACAGCCCTTCTAGAGATCAACCACCAACACCAGTTATACAGAATTAAAAAGAAGTCCTCTTCGGTAAGATTTAACTTAGGCCCTCAGCATAAGGCAGTTAATGTTAAGTGCATTCCATAAGAATAAACAAGCAGCATAATGGAAGAATCAACCACAAATTATATAAGGCAAATTGTTAACATTGTCAAATTCAATGCCTCTCTGGAAAATTTATCTTACCTAATGCCACTAATTGTACCAAATGTTAATTTGCAAATTGAAATGAGGAAGGATGACGGTAACGTGGTTACACAATGACATTTTATACTACAGTACCAGGAAGCCCATGTGCAATTGCATTCCTAAAGTTCATATCAGTTTAATTCATGTCATTTTATTAAAATAAATTTTCTCTTCACAATATGCAAATACCTATATGGCTATACAAATGGGAAAAGGAAGCAAACAACAGTAAAGTTGGTAAGTTAAGAATTGAGACCACTAATTAAGAAAGAACTGATCGTTCAGCCAAAACAAATTTGAACATTTCATGTTCAGCCATCTCCTTCATGAACCCTCTTCCATGACTAGAGAAAGAAATGAAGCTGATAATGTGGAATCATGTTGACAGTGAATAAAGTGGGAAAGCAAAACTATCTACATTTCAAAAAGGTCCCCCGTAACGTGTTGTCAACAATCATTTAAGAAATGAACTTCTGTTTTTCTTGGATTAAATTTAGAAATTCATTGATAGACCCAGTCATTGGCCATCCAAAAAACAGCATTATCATAAGCAACACTTATTCATCAACCATTATCCAGATCACACTTTTGAAACTAGTGTCATGAAGGAGAAAGTCACAGACCTACTATCCATCTAGACAAAGACAATGAGCAAAAAGTAAGCCCAAAGTGTTTTCTACAGCACACAAACACTACTCAGCTTAGTAAGAATGGGAACCTACTAACAATAATTCAAACAAAGTTTGCTAAATTTTTCCTTCATTTTCAAGTCAAAATCTAAGAGAACTAACCACTTTCAATGCATGCGTTTCAACATAGTCCCTTAGGAATAATCCAGTCATGTTCAAACTAAAAAGTACCTCTCAACTTCATCACAATCGAACATATAAACATAAAAGTAAATGGTAGATAGAAAAAACCATAGATGTTTGCATATAGATTATAAAACAACAGCAATGTAGGAGAGGGGAAAATACGCCAGTCAATTAAACAAGAGACATGCCAAGCACTATTGACATTTTTGAAACATAAAGAAAGTAGTACATTTTTTAAATGAACACAAACTTACCACGAGGCTCAACTTTAAATATATTTCCTACTGCAGCCTTCTGTGTCTCTATGTGTTACCAACTGAAAACTATAGAATCCTTAGTTGTTAACTTTTACAAAGAAAATCACTCAACAAAGCCTGATTCGAGCTCCAAAGCCCTAATCTATGTAATGTAATACAAGTCCTAAAACACTTGAAGAAGCAGAACCAATGAATAAGTAACTAAAGATTTTAGTCTTGAACCACGCAGCGATCAAACCTGCAGTCAGACCACCAAAACCAGAAGAGATTGTCAAATTCAATATATCTCAATCTACGATTTCTATTAACTATCAATAGATAGGGGAAAAAATGCATAGAAACTATTTAGGTAGTTTGCATCAAGGCGAATATCGTAAAGGTTGTTTGAGCAATAACAACTACTTTCTCAAAAAAGGTTTATGCACAATGAGATCTAATAATTAATCCCCAGCTACTTGGATATAACCATATAAGAATGCAATTTTATTTAACACCCATCAGTTCAAGCAACCAAAATATTTTACTTCATGCATAATTGCTTCCATAAACACCATCCTTTAAAATCACAACAACTTTTTTGAAGCTGAATTTTCAATCAAAATACCCATAGAGTTTCTATGGTGATATTTAAGAATACCTTTCAAATTTTCATTAAATCATACACACATTTTTGTACCTAATTGTGCAGCTTCTATTTTCAATCTCACCACAGCTTATACAGCAATAAATTAATTAATTAATTATTTTAAAAATATGACCTGCTGCTTGCAATAATAATAATAATAATAATAATAATAATAATAATAAGGAAGATATATACAAGTTCCTTAACAAAAAAGGGAAAAAAAGTTATACGGAACCCTAACTCAAAATCGAAGTCACAAAAACCCCACATATCATCCTATCAAAAATAACAATCCTTCCGCACCAATTCACCTTAACCCCCCCTCCACCCCAAAAAAAGGATTCCTCCTCTATCGGGGTAGGCAAACCAATCATTATCAATACACAAATTACAATACAAAAAATCAAAAGCACCCCATAACACATATCCACCCATCAATCCAAGAAAAGCAAAAATCATCAGCAAAATAATTCAAAATTCAACATTGAAACGTACGAAATTAGAGACGGTGGGGATTTACGAAGGGGAAATTCGGAATTTGGGAACTGAAAATTATCCGATCTCTAAAAGGGAGGTTGAGATTGCGTGGAAGGGTAGAAGCACCTTAGAAAATGTGACTACTAATAATTGAATTGAATAAATAAATGTAACAGCAACCCCCTCCTCCTTTTAAAAGTTTTCTTTTTGTTTTTGTTTTTTTCACATTTACTTACAATTCTAATTTGCTTAATTAATTATTCATTTATTTATATAGGTGAAGGGAAAGAGAAGATCTAGTGGTCATGGAGGTTGGAAAACGAGGAAGAGAGGGGTGGCGGGCATTCATCGGGTACAACCATCTCCTTTGTTGTTGGTAGATGTGGTTAAATTTGATATTTTATATTTTTAAATATTTTAAATATGTCATATAAATATAAGTTATTAATAATTATATAGACGGACATGGATACGACATAATTAATTAATTGTATTAAGATTTTAAATATATATACAAATTTATAATTTTACATAAAAAAGAAGTTAAGGAACTTTCAAGTTGCGGCACGTGGTTATTTCAATAAAAGTAAATCTATCTCGTCGGACTCATGACAGGCCAATGGTCTACCTAGAGTGAGAGTTACATGATTTGTTGTGTGGATTAATCAAGTAAGGCATTTCACTATCTTCTGTCTTTAGTGGGTCATTTGACTAATGGGTCGCTTTAATTGTTTTCTTCGTAGGTCATTTCGATGTTATTTTGTTATTGTTTAGGTCATTTACATAAATAGCATGGAAGGTTGACTTGGAGTTCGCGAGTGTTGTCCTCTCCATATGTATTCCCTATTTGGTTTTGTTTCGCGGGTTGGTTTAAGTCTAGCTGATGATTTTCCATCTTTTCATCTTCCCTCTTTGCTTTGTCTAACGATGTTTTCAAGTTTGCCCTTGGGTTGGCTACTAAAAGAGGAGGAAATGATAAATTTTTAATATTTCTTTGTGGATTTTTGTTAAAGGGTTTTAGTTTTTTGGATTTAGGGTTACTCTATGATTTTGGGGATTTGACCCTAACCCATGAATTTTGTACAGCAGGTTTACGTGTTTGGTCTCAAATGAATGCCATCTTTGGCCTATTCGACCCTGCTATATTTCTCACTGTTCTTGACTTGTTGCTATCCAACCTTTCTAGATTATCGATTTCTCACTTTTTTTTTATATTCTCAGACTTATTTTATTGGGGTTCTTACTATTTATGTGTTTTTGTATTGCATTTCTTTTTTAACTTCACTTAGGCTTTTAGAGGTTTTCATATTCAAGTATTTAGTTTACAATTGTTTCTCAAGCATCTTCTTGCTTTTTATTTGCTATCTGAAATTAATTATTTTTATTTTCTTTTGTTGTTTTTTGTTGAAATGATTGTTTATGATTATTGCTTTTTTTTTTATTTCCAACATAACTTGATGAATCGATTATGTGTTTTCATATGTTTCTAAGATTTTCATAGATCATCTATGCTTTGTCTTTTTAAACATGTTAAATGGTTTGTTTAACATATTTATTATTGGTACGAAATAGAGTATACGGATACTTAGATTGTTGGTGCTCAACTTAATAGGGTGAACATCAAATATATTCTTTGATAAAGGTAGTTGTTATTAATAAAAGCATCAGTTTTTTAATTTTTTTTTTGGTTTTGAGTATGCTGAACAATATTCTTGATTGTATATTTATTTTTTCTTCAATATGGTAATTTGTTGAAAATACAATTTGTATATGTGCAAAGCATTTAACTTGAAAGTCATTATATATAAAACGATTATACTATTTGATGAAGTAGTCTCGTGGTTTGTTTTTCGTTGGTTTGTTTTTCGTTAAAGAATCATACTTGCTGGTTTACATTTTTTCTGTAATAATCATAATTTTGGTTATTGTATTTGGTGTTTTTAGATTTGCAGTGTTGGTTGTTCTTTTTTGCTTTTATTTTTTGATTTGTTGTCTCGATTAATTTCTTGATATCTCTTTTTTTCCACAAGGTTTCTATTTTGCTTGCCGTCTCAGTTGTGCGAAATATTGTAAGTAAATAAGGTTTTTAAATTTAGTTTAGCATCATTTTTTGCTGTAATGTTTTAAAGTGATTAGATATTATTTTGTTTTCTCTTTCTGGACCAAAAGTAATAGTCTGGGTAGTCATTAATGATCCAATTTTGGTTAGAAATGAATCCTTTTATTCATTAAGGGAAGGATTGATCATTGAAAAGATGGATGAGTTGTGTATGATCTTTCCTTTCTTTAGAAATGAGAAGGATATTTTCTCTAGCCAAAATTTAGATCATCTCATAATAGCACAACCAGTATTGATGTAAGTAAAAGATATCAGATATTTCTATGTTAACTTTTTTTTATTGAATTGGACATAATTCATTACATTGCACAAGAGGTTGCTAGAAATAACAATATGTTTTGATTTGATAAAATTTTGAATTACAACCTTTTATTTCTTGTTTTATACTCTTTATTTGTTGATTGTTTTTTTAAATTGAGTGTTTACAGTATTGCTTGGTCAGGTTATTATAAGTTTGATGCAATATTTTTCTATTATTTTATGCTTCCTCTTTGTTCTATCTGTAGTTTTCCCTTACATTTTAATCATGCACAAATTAAATATACATAAACAATGTAGACAAAGGAGGTTAAAAATATTAAGAGCAAAAAAATTATCTAGATTGAGTAAAAATTATAACACTCAATATCACAATCAAATGAATATCTTATTTGCTCAAAACTTCCAATTACCTCATCATTTCCACTCATGGGGTTTTGCATTCAATTTTATTCATATTCTTGTTGGAGGACATGTGACAATTCATTCGACTGTTAATCCTAATGGTGAACTTGAAACATTGGTTGAACCTATTATTCATTTGTCTGGTGTTGGTTTCCCAAACATTGGTTTCTAGATAATGCCCACTAATATTCTAAGTTTCCCAATAACTAGTTGGCCTAATTATCTTGTAGGGGACATTAGGTTATTAAGTGATAGTTTCTATTCAAACCATCAGTTTAGTCATTATCAAGTTTCACAAGGTTGCTCGAGCAACTCTTTTCATGGTAGTAGCCTCGTAAACTTTTCCTTTAACACATTACAAATATTATTATCCTATGATAAATACTATTTTGAAAGTGCATAATAAGATCACAACAAATATTTAATTCAAATTTCTGTGCACAATTTATGAAGGTCTCATACAAGATGTTCCTTGCTAATGTGAAAACTATATCCCTGAAAATAATCTTCAAGTGGAGGAAAATATCCCAATGCTCGAACGTAAGTTCAAATGCATTGTCAAATCAATATTTCAAATCATTCTGGTCTCTTTCGTAAATGTGATCATTAACACATGTTTATATTTGTTTATCATGCATATAATAGGAAATCAAATGACTATTTAGTCGCTCGGAGGCCCTAATTATATATGTCTTTTTTTTCATAGCTTACATGTGGTATGAAGAAAGGTTAGATGTATCAAGAGAAAATAGGAATCCTACTTATAATCTTTGTTGTCAAGAAAGTATAGTACGAATACCAGATTTTAGAAAAACGACCCTTTTCTAGACACCTTACTTACTGATGACACAAATGCTAGAGTTCAAAAGTTTAGACAAAACATAAAAATATATAACAACATGTTTCAATTCACTTCATTAGGAACTTAAATTGATAAGTCAATCAACAATTGGGTAGGTCCTTACATATTTAAGATCAATGGTCAAATTGATCATAAGATAGGTTCTTTGCTACCCATGCTTGGAAGCAAACCAAAAGTCCCTCAACTTTACATTTATGATGCTGAAAATGAAATCTAAAATAGGTTAGCAATTGACAACAATGATCTTCACAGATCAGTTGTTGAAGATCAAATGAAAATGCTTGATGACAATAATCAAATTGTGAAAGTATTTAGAATGGCTAAGGATAGGTTAACAACTATAAAGTTTACACCTTTTTGACTTAGATTTATAGCATCTAGAGATCAATCACACCTAAATTATAAAGTGCCTAATACAAATAAAATAGTTGGTCCAATAATAGGTGATTTAAGAGAATATGTTGGCCATAAAGATATTATAGTTGATTATGCCACTGAAGGTTTAAATTAAATTAGTGAACTGCACCCTTCATTCATGAACATGCGATATCCTCTTCTTTTCTCATATGGAGAAGATGGTTATATGCCTAATATAAGCTACGTTCATGCACTCGTTAGAAGAAAACCAAAACAAAAAATGTCAAAATGTCAAAATATATTATGCATACATAATTCAACAACTATCAACTTTTAAAAGTGCATTATTAAGGAGTGGTAGGCTATTTCAACAATTTATAGTTGATGCATATGCTATTATTGAAGAAAAGAGATTATTATTTATAAGAAACAATTAAAAAAATTAAGAGCTAAATTATATTAAGTTTTAAAAGATGCTTTGTAAAAGGGGACAATAATGCTAGCAATGTATGAAAATGTCTAATGGTACCTTTAAGTTTTTTTGGCAGTCCTAGATACTTATTACAAAACTATCAAGATTCCATGGCAATTTATAGATGTTGCAGTTGTCTTGATATAACATCTAGAGTTTTCAAGATTAAATTTTGTCATCTAATGGATGATTTGGTGAAGAACAAACACTTTGGTGTTGCCATAGTTGGTGAGTGAATACTGTCCACCTTTCATCACTTAATTTTCAAAAAATTTTGACATTCATCAATTACACTAAACTTTTACCATATAGTTATTTATACAATTGAATTCCAAAAGCGAGGGTTGTTGCATATGCATATCTTTCTTTGGCTCCTCCATGACTATAAGTGCTCATCACTTGAAAGCATAGATAAGATCATATCAACAAAATTACCAGACAAACATGCACATCTTGTCCCCTACCAAGTTGTATCAAAGTTCATGGTACATGGACCATGTGGCCATGCACGACCAAATTTTCCCTACATGGTCAAAGGTTATTATTCAAAATTTTTTCCAAAAGACTTTCAAACAAGAACTATAATTAATGAAGACAAATTCACAACATATTAAAAGAGAAATATTCCTAATTGTGTAATAATTAAAAACATTATTAGATTAGGCAATAAATATGTGGTACCTCATAATATTGATTTAATGGTAAAATGTCAAGCACACATCAATGTAGAGATTTGGGGTCAATTGAGAGCTAT